AGACAGCTCCGCACCAGGGAAAGCAGGCCACAATGGCGTCCAACTGCTCATAGGTATCGCTAATGACTGTGCAGCATTATCCAGATATCCGGGGGATTAGTGTGCAGGGAGAGAGGAGAACAAACGTAACCGTGTAAGCCACTCCGAAAAATGGAAAACCATCAACCGAATCGAATTGAATCGAACAGAACGTGAGAAAGGTAAACCAAAACAACCCAAAGAGAGTGCAATCGAACGGAAGGGAGGTTCGTACTTGAGTTGGACACCTCCTTGACGTACTGCAGGGCCAATCGTTTCAAGAAGTTGGCATCCTCCTCGGCCACGAAGAAGCCCATAAAGTTCTGGCTCATGTAGGGCTCTAGCTTGAGTGGTCGATTTAATAAAGCGCCTGTCATGTCTACCACCTGTTTGAGAGCCTTGGACAGCTGCAGGGAGCACTCATCGGGGGCCTGTATTAATGAGATTAAATGAGTAAATATATCCTGAATAATCCTCTCTAAACTCACCTTAAAAAACGAAACCAGTGTTATGTGGGGCACATAGTTGTGGGCTCCATTCCAGCCGCACATTTGGCGCGACTTGGCCCAGAACTCCTCCAGTTGCTGCAGAAAGGGTCCCGTGGGACAGGCATATATAATGTACTCCCTGGGGGCACATTCGTCCAAGGTGGCATCGTTTACATGGGCCAGCAGCCAATCCGAGGCAATCTGGACTCCTCGATTGCCCGTGGAAGCGAGGGCTTTCTCACTGTTCAGAAGCAAACAAGAAAAAATCAATACTCTGATTCTCAGGAGCTGTCGGCCTGTTAGTAGGTCACCATCCCAAGCCCACAGCCTCTATGTAAGGATAGTTTTTGGAGCAGCTGGTGACCTCCAGTAGCCAACACGTAGTTAAACTCACGCCCTGTGCCTGGGGAAGCCCATTTGGAGCAATGTTTGGAGCGGCGTCAGGTGCTGTTTGGAGATGCAGATCCTCGTGGGCGTCTGACTCTTGCGCGGCGGAAGCGTGGCCATGTCGATTGTAGCCTCCTCGTTGAGCCCCGGTTACCAGCTATTGGCAGCTTTCGGTTTTTGCTGGATCTTCAATAATTTTCAGTGATAATTTCAACAAAAATAGGATACAATTCGTTAATTGGCCACCCAAAAACAGTGCGTTAACCAACACTGAAACTGAAAGATATGACAAGACAGCACCTATCGATTGTTACGTGGACTGCGCAATCGATAGACCCGATACTGACCAGTAGAGATGAGAGTGATTCTCCTGGCGAGACAACAACAAAATTCACTGCGTAATTAATTAAATATTTTAGTTAAATCAAGGCGCACCACAAAGAAACAGCTCGCAGAGTGTTCAATAGTGTTCAAAGTAAGTGCCAGTGCCAAAGGAATATAGTGCAAGACGAAAGCGCAGCTAGAAAAAGAGTGTTACGCAGCAGGCAAAAAGTGCATGGAAAATGCCATTGGAGCCCCCACATCAAACATACACACAAATACACGAGTACACACAAAGGCCCACGCACACGGACGCAATTAGTGGTGCGCTGGTAGTGGTGGAGCACAAAAACAAGTTGTTCGTGGACCCCAAAAGGGGGCGGGGCGGGTGAGGCTATCTGTCCACCGAGAGAAAACAATTTCGCACTATTTTTGTGGATAGCCCTCATGTGGTAACTCCCCCTGCACTTGAGGATTTGGCGGAAATGGGCGTTTTCCCTGCTGGTTTTCCTGGTATTCCAGAAACCTTCTTTTAGACTGGCTGACCTCGTCTTTGTCTGTTCTCTGCGCACTTTCTCCGCTGCGCCAGCTAATAAGCAGTGATCATGCTTTATCGCCCCGATGCGGGTAGGCTCCCCCTCCCCCGCCTGTTATCACAGTCCAGCGATCACTCACTGTTCAGCATGACTCATTCGATTTGTTTTTATCACCCCGCACAGCATGGCACCAATATTGGTCATCTTATCTGTCACTACAAACATTTTACAGCTGCTTAAAGCTAGCTTACAACTAAAAAAAACAGTCATGTTTAAACCACTACTTACTGTCTTGTAAAAATAGATTTTTATACTCATGCAAAGGGTAATATGGTTTTTGTCAGAAGTTTGCAACACAATGATCTTTTCTAGCTTCGTGGTTTTTTTTATCATAATTTATTCTACCCTAGGATGTAGCTTTTTTTATGAATTTAGTATGGCGAATACGTTGTTTTTAATCGGACTACATCATACAGCTGGCATAGAGACAATCGGATAATTGAAAAATAATATACAAAAATTGGAATAGCTTCGTCGATTTTAAACATGTTTTTACTCTTTTTTTACAAGATTTCAGGTGTAATAAGATATATCGATACGGTTTATATGGTTTTTATAATATGCTTCAACAAACCGAAGTCTTTACTTAACATTTACTTAAGTATTTGTGTTCAAATGACAAATTCCTTTGCTAAAATACATTATTTCTTCCTCTTAATCGAATTAAAGAAAAACCGCAATGGTATTTTTAACACCCAATCAATACCTTTTGGTGTCTTTCAGCGCCAAAAGTCGAAAGTGACAGTCACCCCCGAGTAAGCCAACCCCACAAATTACATCGAAATGTCTGGCCGCAAGAAATCCCTGCTGAAAGTCATCATACTGGGCGACAGCAGTGTGGGCAAGACCTCGCTGATGAATCAGTATGTAAACAAACGCTTCTCCAACCAATACAAAGCCACGATCGGAGCTGATTTCTGCACGAAAGAGGTGGTGGTCAACGATCGAGTGGTCACAATGCAGGTAAGCACTTGTAATTTCTCAAAATCCTCCATTTTACTTTAACCGTATCACACTTTGATTGTAGATCTGGGACACTGCTGGTCAGGAACGCTTCCAGTCGCTTGGAGTGGCCTTCTACCGCGGAGCCGACTGCTGTGTGCTCGTCTACGATGTGACGGCGCCCAACTCGTTCAAGAATCTCGACTCCTGGCGCGACGAGTTCCTCATACAGGCCAGTCCACGTGATCCCGAGCACTTCCCCTTCGTGGTGCTGGGCAACAAGGTGGACCTGGACAACCGTCAGGTGTCCACTCGTCGGGCGCAGCAGTGGTGCCAATCCAAGAACGACATACCCTACTACGAGACGTCCGCCAAGGAGGGCATCAACGTGGAGATGGCGTTTCAGGTTATAGCCAAGAATGCGCTGGAGTTGGAGGCGGAGGTTAGTAGCACTATTTAGCTTGGTTGTTCGCCACCAAAACTAATTGTAAATTCTTTTTTAGGCTGAGGTTATCAACGATTTCCCCGATCAGATCACCTTGGGTTCGCAAAACAATCGTCCTGGCAATCCTGACAACTGTCAGTGCTAATGTAACAACAACGCAAAATGGATAATTACACAATCTATATTATTAAATAATATTTCCAACATAATAATGAACATGAGAAGCAAGCAAACACAAAGGACGACGGAGGAAAGTGTTCTATGATTAAGTAAAACAATTTCAGCAAAACAGCATAGTAATTAATTAATTGATAGGATGCAAAGTTCAGAATCAGATCAACATCAGCAGACTCTAAACGGGCCTCTGGCAAAGGCTCTACCAGTATACCCAACTTCCTACGACCTAAGTAACCAACCGTTGAATGAATAAGTATGCTCTGTATACTCGTAATTAATAATTCATGTTTCTGACCGCCCGCCCGCCTATCTCCCTAGTACTATTTTTGCCATTGTATTAGTCAAATTTTGCACGCAACCGCTGCTGGCTTTTGCAACAGAACAGCAACCTTGAGAATACAACATCAGAGTATCTTCTAAACAAAAAACAAAAAAAAATCTTGTGATTGTAAATTTAATAAAAAGAAATCTTTTTTAATATAATTAACGACATAATTTCCAGCACCATCGAATTGGCTACTCAATCGTATTTGGCTCAGCTCCACAAAACTCTTTGCAAAACATTCGAGCGTGAATTTTGTTTAGTTATAACGTTACTCGATATCCTATAATTATGAATAGTATTCCATGTAAAATTGCTCCTTGTTTTTGGTAATACATATATGTAAATTGCGTATATTTGGTATGTACTTTATTCCACTGATGAATTTCATGAATTCTCATGCTCTTTGGTTTAATTTATAAATTAAACAATGAACAATTTACAATAAAACTCAAATAAGCTAATATGAGGGTGTTTTTATATGGGATTTTAGTAATTTTGACCACTGTACATGAGTTGTAAATTAGAGATGCAAGCAGGTGCACACAACATATCGTTTATCGATAACACCACGCTGTTTACTAACATTTATCTGCAAAAACAGCTGCTGCTATTGTCTGTTTACTAGGCAAGTTCACTTATTTATTAAATCCTCTCAAATGTCGCATATTTCACAAGTGGCCCCGCCCCCACCACCACCGCCCATGGTGAGGAGTCCTGTGACACCTGCTGCACCAAGAGAACTCCCAGTTGGAGTCAATATAACCACCGATGAGTGCAGTTGGGCCTGGGAGTATCCGGAGCTGCAGAAAGGATGCTACCTCAGTCGTGTCTGTCAATATGCCCCGCCGAAGCACTGTCAGTACTATCCTGTAAAAAGTATTTTGCAGGTAAGTTAAGAAGTAATTCAACTTACTGGTTTTAATATGCATTTATCTTAGGTTGGCCCCACTTGTGGCCTAGTGGCCTTGAGCATGTTGCTCAATGGCCATCCTCCAGCAGCTGATCTTCTCAAGGAAGCCATTACTAAGGAGTACACATTAAATGGCGAGCTTTTCAGTGCCCAATATTTATTCGATCTCACTCGAAAGCATATGACAGGGCCTGGTGCATGTCAGCTGCATGAAGGCCCGCTCAACTGCAAGAAAGTCAGAGAACTATTAAAGGCTGGAGGCTGCCTGATAGTGCCGTATCCTTTTTCAAAAAATATATCCCTCTAATCTATATATTTGAACGTAGTTTAAGTAAGGACTTCTCCCATTTCAAAACCGGTTGGCGCCTAACAGCACGTCTAAACGGTTAACAGCATTCTGTTAGCTGTCAGTGTTGTAAAACTCTCGTTTGTTTAGTGTTAACTATTATAAACAGGCGTTTTGGGTTTAGCAAAATATTGTTAAATTCCCCATTTATTTTATTAACAAAAAGTGCAAATACAATAATTAAATGGCCGACGAAACGGAGCAGGTATGTTGCAGCCTTGAAACATAAGAGGAAGTCTCTGATTCGTGTACTTACAGCTTAGCCAGGTGATTTTGCCGGTGAAGGAACCGCTGGATCTCATCCGATTAAGTTTGGATGAAAAGGTGTACGTAAAGATGCGCAACGAAAGGGAACTGCGGGGACGTCTCCACGTAAGTTGTTTTAACTTTCCATTGATGTCCAGTATCCCTCCATAACAATCCTTTACACAGGCCTTCGATCAACATTTAAACATGGTGCTGGGCGACGCGGAGGAGACGGTAACCACTGTGGAGATTGACGAGGAGACCTACGAGGAAGTGTACAAGACCGCCAAGCGCACCATTCCCATGTTATTCGTGAGAGGCGATGGAGTCATCCTGGTTTCACCTCCCATGAGGGTTGGCTAGCGGGTCCCCCTTCGATTTTAAGTCAATTCACCTGCATTTATACATTCTGTATTTATATTGGTTAATAAATGTCTAAAAGAAAATCATGTCTTTATCCGCATGGGTAATCCTAAGTAATATTGAAAGAACTAATTCTTAGATCAAACCCTATTGGTTATCCTTAAATCAAGTAAACTTTTGACCTACCCAAGTTATGATGCCGATGTAAACCATGCTCCATGTCTGAAATCAGGACACCGAGCTCATTGGGCTTTGATTGTGGGTTACCTGGTGGATCAACAGGATCGGGTAAGCAGAAAAAACTGTGTGCCTCAAGTCCATTTATTAATTGACATTATTCTCCAGTACTATGTCCTGGCACGTCATGGCAAGACCCGGAATCTGGCAGTTTGGTCACTGGACACGCTCAGCGAGAGCAACGCCAATTTGGTGGAGTTTGCCCAACCCAAGGGCTATCCGGATAACGACTTTCTACTGCCACCAGATGGAATCGGTGGATCCCTGGGCCTAAACGAGCGCTGCATCTTGGTCAACGGCCTGCCACAGCAGGCGATTCATATTCGCTGCCCTTAGACTCACATTTTATATATACTCAATAAAGAAGACTTGACAATTTCGTATTTAACTTTAATATATTTAGTAGTACAATTATAAATTACACGCCTTACAATACTTCACTTCGCAACGCAATCAACGCACCTCGAACGTTTCTTCATCTTTCAGTTCAAACGGGGGAAAAACACGCAGAGTTTTCGTATTTAATCGGTTCGCAACTACTACGGGGACACGAATGCGATTTTTGGGGGGAATAGAATATAATATACAATAATGATATATCGAACTGTCTCCTGCTAGTGCCTGCTGTATATATATGTCGATTTTTATGTATACATGTATAAATTTACGCTTTTTCAACATCCTCTAATACGACTGGGCTGCCTTGAAATTTAAAAAATCACAACAATAAGAGTAGTACACATGGTTTTGTATATGGTAGATTAGATAGGTATACTATATATAGTATGTATTGTATATAATTTCACACACAGATATTTTTCTGATTTAGGTAGTACATAGACGACGGGCTTGGTTAATATTTCAAATTGGTTTGTCAATTAGTTTTTAGCATGCTGCATAACATTTAGATACTTTTGATAGTTGGCCAGACGGGAGCAACGATTTTTGAGATCATGGGGCCTAATGCTCCCGATACGCTTGGGAACTGTTGGTTAGAGAATATATAGGGTATGTATGCTAGTCCATGCCAACAGGCAAGAGCAACGTGTCCATAGAAATTCTTGAAACAGTAACTACAAAGTTTGGTTTTAGTTCTAGACCATCTTGTACAGGATATTTTGATACGCGTTGTTCATCTTTGACGAGTTTATAATTACTTTAAGCATATCATATTAAACTAGTAGTGTCTGTTTGTTTTGTCTGTCTGTGTCTGATTGCGGGTCGAAAGTATCTGATAAATTCACAAGTTGCGCGCGGAAATGAACTTAGATGAACGTTACAGGCTAACGGTTTATTAACTAAAAATTAACAAATACTAATTATAAATAAATTATCATTCTTTTCAGTTTTATAATATTTATTGCCGCGCAAGTGACTGGCTCCCTTGCTCCAAGCACGTTTCAGTTTGTGTGTCTGTATATCTGTGTTCTTTTTGTGGGAGTTTGGGGGTGTCCCGTGTGAGGTCGGGGGTTAAAATGACTAGGATAATTCAGCACAGGACATGGGAGTGCAGCCGATGAGCGCAATGGGAAAGTTCTTGACGTGCGTTTGCCATTGCGACGATACCTGGAAGAACTTGACTCCCGTCCACTCGGTGCCATCGATGTACACTGCAAAAGGGAAGTGCTAGTTAGTGGAATCCCTCAATAAGTGAGAGCTGGGATTACTCACCTCGCAGTGGCACTGGATGCGATTGTTTGGGTGAGCAAATCAGACGGGCTACGCCCTCCACACATTGCTCCTTCTCGAGATCACGCTCCTTATCCTTCTTCTTGCCCAAGCGCATAACTGAAAAGCGGAGATCAGTGAGTTAGGCCTTACATCTTCAACTCTAGCCAGGATCTACTCACTCTGCTTCTGCTTCTTCTCCTTGGTGGCAAAACTAACAGTCAGTCCATTGAACATATCACCCATTTGCTGTGCATGCTGTGGCAGTCGCCACACCTGCAGGTTCCTAAACGTACTCTTAATGCTATTCTTGCCGCCGGCGTCGCTTCCCTTGGACATGCCGCCCTTTGACTCCTTGGCATGACCGTCGCCCGGCCTCACCAGTGGCCAGTAGTCAACCTGCAGCTCCACTGCCTCCGATGCCGCCAGAGCTCCACTGAAAGTTTGTTGCTGCTGCGACGATGGCGTACTCAGCGATTCACTGGTATTGCGCTCCCGGTGCGAGGACGCCGATGATGGTGGCGTCTGCAATGGTGGTGAGATGCGTCCCAGGCTCTGCTGCTGGGGCGGGGAGCCGGACACCACGCCATGCACATTCGGCGAACTCTGGCTGCCAATGGGGATGGCTGAGCTGGAAGCCGATCCAGAACCCAGTCCACTACCGGCGGCATTGGAGCCGGCTACAATCTCCTCAAGATCCAACGAGGCCTGGGCATCGAGATAACCAATACGGACATCCTATAGATCAAAAAGCAATAAAGTTACCATTTTGACTGGATATTAAATGAATTTCCCTTACACTAACGAACGGCACAAATATCTGGCAGGAGTCCTCGTCCTTGTAGTTGACCATGGCCTCAGCGATGGGTATCTGGGTGCAGGGACCGGCCGCCAGCAGATAGCGCTGGATGCGCTGCACCAGCTCTGCGATGTCCGACTTGGCCACGCCAGCCGCATCCGCCAGGTTGGTTGTTAGCGCGGTGGCATTGACTGTGGTTACCGCACTGACCGCTGCCGCTGTGGCCGCCGCCCGTTCGCACAGCTGCGTCCAGTTGTCCGAGCCGAACATAACCGCATAGGCCTGATCCATCTGGCTGAGATGGCGGGCCACACTGCCGCAACTGCCGCCGACGGGCACCAGGTAGAAACGCAGGTGATTGAGCCAATCCGGAGGACGCACGCCCATCAGTTCCACATAATGCCGCAGGGTGGCTCCCTGCAGCCAATCTCCGCCAATCAGCAGCACCTTCACCGTGTGCGGTGGCTTGGCGTTCGAGTTGCAACTAAAGGGGGAGGAAATAAAATGAATTAACCATTCAGACCTGATAATAGGGGGGCACTTACTACTTCTGGATCTTGGCCATGAGCGCCTGCAGCACCGCCTTGACCTCGGCCGTGTTTTGCGGCACGAAGGCCGGCTTGAAGGAGTTGGCAAAGAGCGTGACCAATTTGGCAAGCAGCGCACTTCCGCCCAACGCCTCCGGCGGACTGATGATGGTCACCACCTCGGGAATGGAGCTGTCCTCGCCGGCGAACACGCGACTCAGCTGGTCGAGCAGCAGCTTGCGTGGCTCCACATTGGTTGGCGAGAGGCAAGTCTCCAGCATGGATCTCGGCTCGGCGCTCAGGCTCAAGGTGTGCTTCCTTTTGCCGCCTCCCGAGGCGCTAATGGCACTGGCACTGTTGCCTCCACTTGCTGTGATGCCTGGAGTATTGCTGGAAGTTCGGAACAACCGGGATCGCTTCTCCGTCTGAGCGGGCGTTACCACACTACCGCTTCCCAGACTGGCGGCCACCGAGCTCACTGGGGTCAACTGCTGCTGCTGCATCTGCTGCAGGCGCATGTAATCCTTGTCCCTGGGCGGACTGTTCTGCGGATCGGAGTTCTGGCCATCCGTGTAGCCAGCATTGCCCTCGTTGCCGGAGCTGTCGTTACCTCCGCGATCTGGGAGGAGCATAAGAGAGGAAAGGAGTAGGTTAAAAAAAATGTATATGGGTTTATCTAGTTCAAGAAATGGGCATTCATATTGGTGGTCTATTGAAAAATGTACAGAAGAACCATGTTTAAAACGCGAATTCTTTATGTTTTTTCTCTTATTACTGCTTTGAAACTATTCCATCATAGTCTTATATATTCTAAACGCGAATTCTTTATGTTTTTACTCATATTACTGCTTTAGAACTATTCATTCATACTCATAGCATTTTTAAAAAGCCTTGTTCTTCGTGCACATTTTTCAAAATCAACGACCATTATGATGACCCCAGGTGGAGGAAGGGGTCTAGTGACGAGGGACGGTGTGAAACTGGGGGCACGAGACATGCGGAGACCAAACAAGACAAGATAAACAGAATCGTGAGACAGAATGGCGGCCACAAATAGTAGGTCCCTAAATAGAACGCCCCTGCGAAGAGTTTCCCCAGTCCAAGGAGCCCATATAAATAAATAATAAAAACGCGGGCCGAAAATATAATTAAAGCTTTCTTTATTTTATGACCATGAAAGGGGGTGGGTGGGCCCAAAAGTTGGGTTGAAAAGGGGGAAGTGGCCATATTTTTTCCGAGGCAGAAATTTCCGGCTCGTCGTGCTTGAATTTTCAAAGCCATGCGCCGATTAATCAAAAAACACACGACACGTAAATAAAGTGAAAGTGAAAGAAAAAAGGGGGAAAATGGAAAAAAAAAAGAAATGGGGGAAGCAAACAAGTTCAAGACTTCATCAAGGGAAAGAGGGCGGGTCTAGCGGTGATTAAGGGTGTTGTTTTCAAGGGTCTGACGTCTATGCCTTGGCTAATTGGAAAACCGCCTCAAGTGCGTCGAAGGTTCAATTGTCATGCCACGCAGACTCACACACAATTCCACACATGTTGAGGAAGTTGGCTTCCTTTTTTGGGGGAAAGGGGCATGGGGCATGGGCCAAGGGGAGGGGAGATGGATGTTTATTTTAAGACCCCACAAACATGCACCTCAACTATAGGTACTAAAAACAAACGATCAATGGTATTGACGCACAAATCAAAGATTCCCCGTAATCATCACACCCCGTTTTTTTGTGGCATGCAAAGGTGGTGGTGCATAGCGGTGTGGTGCAACAACACAAAAGTACGAACAAGGCATACATTTACATTTCCAGTGTACTTGTGGCAGTGTGTGGCTGTGTAACTGTATGCGTGTGTGG